ATCTACAGAGATGATCCTGGGCCATACTGACACAATTCCAACATTTCTTGGCCCAAACAGACCCCTCTTTTCGAAACAATCTCTGGGGGTACTTTTTGTGCGCCTCGTCCTGGCGGAGAATTTTCCTTGAACTGCACCCCATTGGTGAAAAAGGGCTATTCTCGGGTAGTCTGGATACCAGACCAAATGATTCTGACTACTCTTGGAAGTTTTTTATGAAGAGTCGTCAGGGGATCTTTGGGTAGGGAACCAGACTATTCAGCGGGGCCAGTACACATACTGCGGGCACGTTATGTTTATGCATATATGGTAATCTTTATGCTTTGTTAAAACCAGGTTGTACTCATGCGTATACTGCGCGCAAAGAGACACTTCTCCTTTGAACAAAAACACTGTGAGTAAGTGAGTTACCAGTTCTATGCTACCACCAAAATTGATCATTATGACCATCTTTGCGCAGAGGCGATATCGTAACCGATGAGGTTTATCCGAGGTGCGATTATTGCTAGTTGAAAACTTATCCCAATACCCCGCAATGTTGATTCGTCAGCATATGCAATTTTTGATGGTCTCTACGGAGACCGAAATTCACTCAAAGATAGATTCATGATGTGACGGAGTCGTGATAGGCGCGATTAGCGTCGATGACAATTGATGTTAACAGTTAAAAGCCACTGTAGCACTTTCGTATCGTACGTGCGTACACTAAGTGCATTTAGATTCTACTTTAACTCCGCCATATAACCTGCCGTTCTTACCCCCTCCACCTTCCAATCAGTTGCGTCTTTTCAAGGTATTTGACACATGGACGGAATCATTTTTTGCTTTTACTTTCACCAAATCATTTACACATTCTGTGCATGGTACTTATTCTTGTCTTCACCAACACATGTAGGTGTAATTTCGTGGGAAATGGTGGTGGGGATTGCCACCCAAAAAGGTTCTGATGTAAAATTATAATGAGAAAAATACTGTTTATCAGCAAACAGTTTGTATACATTACTGTGATATTTTTATTTGAAAGTACATCAGAACAGATGATATAGAGTATATGTATCGACTTATTACATGTTGCATATTCATAAATGGCAAATACATAAATTACAACCAAATCTCCAGTAAGGCATTAAAAATTCCAATACATGAACCAAAACAAAGTTCCTTTTACAACAGAATGACTGGTTTAGTCCGTTACGAAATAATTCCATGTAGTGACACAGAAATTTAGGGGGGGGGAAATATCATTTTAACTGTGGTAAAGCTCTCTAGAATCAAAGAGAAAATTCTGCTTTCCTGGTCTGAATATTCAAACGGATGTACATATGCTTATATATATAAACCTGATTTTAGGCTGACTGCTCTCTCTACATACAAAGAAAAAAGTAATAACTCATGATGGCATTGCGTAAACATCTGACAGATAACTGTGCCGCATAGATTCTTGAATTCCGAAAAAAGTGCCAGAAGAGTAATTTTACAGGGAGTTTCATGGTTGTTCTATCGATTTCACATCAAGGATTTTTTATTGAATATTCTATCACTGTGGTTCAACAATCCTAATACAAAGTAGAACACTGCTTTCACAAGGTCCTTGAGACTTGACAAGTTACCTTGTTATAATAGTAACCTCGTATTATCAGTAATGGAAAACAAAGAAAATCAACGACTTGGAACCGAAAATTGTACTTATTATAAATAAGACCTTGTATTAACGGTGATCTTTGTTTGACTTTACTTGAAAAATTAACTATAACATAATAACTGTGATACATGCATTTATCACTTATTCCATGACCTGCATCATCTTGTTAACATCAGAATCAAGACCGAGGAATACAGGGTGCTCTGTGAATGTGATATTTTATTCTGATCAAAAGGTTTTTAACTTGATCAATAAATAAATCAGCTTGGCTAACTGACATGTGAGTAGCACGAATCAAGGAGCCAACCGAGGCCCCTTCAATCCAGGACTTTCAAGTTCTTGTGTCCATTCTGTGTACATTTCACTAAATCGACAGGAGATGCACAGAAAGCCCCTACATGGCTAGAGAAACAATGTCAAGTAATTAGCAAGCAATTAAACAAGAACAACAAACTATGATTTATCATATATGAGCCAACTCTTTAAAGCAAAAACACTTACATGTAAACAAACATCTCGCAAATATAAACTTTTACCACAAATAAACAGCAAACACATTACACAACCACGTAATACAATACCATGTGGGCCACATACAAAAGCACATGTACATGTAGAACACTTTTTAAAAAGAAGAAACTAGAAATTACTGTAGCAGGTTGTAGGACAAAATATTGGGTATTTATCATAACACGGACTGTGCATGTATCAGCACTGTTGCATTAATTTATCAATAGTTCCTTGTATACACGTACATGTCATTTTGACCTTTGAAGTCGCAGCTAGTTCTGTTTTGATAAGATTAAAATTCATTTAAGCATCCACTGAAATCAATCATGATTGGTTATGAAAGGTAAAACTGACAATCTCTGAATACCATTTTTACCAGCCAGAAAAGAATTAATACATAGCCATTTCCTTTAATAGTTCTTACTTTAACAATGACAATTGTTAGAAAATTAACCCCTCCAAATATCCCGTTGGATTTGATTATTCCAAGTACGGCCAAAAGTCATTTTTATTCTCACTGTTGGATTCCATTAGATTCAACTGCATTACTCTTACTGGATTCTGATGCATAGCTTTTACACAGTTAAAGGCATAACATGTTAATCAATATTGATTTGTTGAAGTATGCCTCACAGTTGTGTAGTGCTGTATAAAAAGGTGTTGTGAATCAAACCAATTTACGTCTTAAAAATACACTCAGACAGGGCAGTGGGCTGCAACAAACAGTGCTGAATTTGTGCATGCATGCAAAAACTGGCAGAGAGAGCTTTTCTAATGAAAAAAGGCATAACATCGACATGTACATGTCAACATCCCAGTAAGGTGAAGAATTAATTTTAAGCCTTTCTGTTTTCAGCACGGAGTGCAGGCGTCACAAATCTAAACCTTGGCAACAAACCTAATTAAAACCAATTGATATTTCCTTCCGCAACCTCCAAAGTGAGGATATGATAATTTTGACAACACAAGGAGGACATATAGCCCCTGCATAAACCCATGCTCACTGTAATCTCTTTCAGACACTTGGGCAATGGTAAATAAAGCTTTCGTCTATCAAATTCAATATTTATCCCTATTTCTGTATCAAATTGGAGAGTGTACAGCTGAATAATGAGAAGGACACATAAGCACTTTTCTGTTGAAAGATATTTTTCATTAAACACGCCCACATGTACATTTGACATAACTTGTGACCAAATACAAGAAAATTTGTTTTTGTGGAAACTTTTTGTGCTACTCTGGATCTCTAAAACTTACTTTCAGTGTTTCGACGAAATGGAATCCATGGATGTAAAGAAAGAGTTACAAATGCAGAAACTGGATGAAAATTCATGAAGACAACCTATTATTGTGGCAAGTAAATCTTTGCCTTAAACACAACCACCATGTCAATTTCTGACACCTGTTTGGTTATTAAGTGTCATGCAGATTACCCTTTTGTGTACTCATAGGACATTTAAAAATGGGCTTTCAGAACTATGGCTATGACATAGATCTACATGTGTTGTCACTTTGTCAACATGAACCCACATGTTTGCAACCCAACCCAAAGACCTAAACCTTGCTCAAGACAGAAGATTTTCAGGAAGCTACATGTATGTGTACATGTAAAGCTTGTGTCCACACCAATTCTAAATTAAAGTGTAGCAGCGATAACTTTTTCTTGGAACCAGTGTGCAATTTTATACTCCTCTCAAATGTATGAAAGTTATTTGACATTCCTTTTCGTTTAAATGCACTGAAAAGTGCAATTTTTTAAAAATTAAATCTTGGCCATGCTTTCCTGGACAACAGGGGGCACTGTTGCTGTGATGTCATTCAAGGAAGATGTGTCTGTGCCTAGGTTTTTCTGTTGCAATTGTGAACTTAACTCACTGAAAACATTTCTGAGAAAGGGTTGCATGCTAGCTTGTACTTAAAAAAACAATGAATCACCCAGAAATGAAAATTGAGGCCAGCAAATTCTAAAAAATCAGCAGTTTTTTTGTGTACAAACCAATGCAACATTAAAATGCTCTTCCTGGGATGGCATCACAATTTAACTCATGAACATGGAAATGCTTACGAGCATAAAAAAGAAAAAGGCAGCAAAATACCCTTTTCAATAGTGAAACAAACATTGAAAATGAGGTTAACTGAGATGTTAAGGAGAATTTCAGAGGTTTGTATTTTTCTAATGCATTGCAGCTACCCTTTAGGGAAAAAGTCATGTATAGAAGTCTTGACTTCGCATGTCTTCTGACCACCCTTGTTTGTGATATTCTACAGTTTCAAAGTGACTATACAGTTGCCCAAAGTCAAACTTGTGAGCCACCCTCCTGCTAATTTGGTGGCATGACCTGAAAAGATTACATGGACACTTTGACAGGTGTTTATTTAGCAGATGCTCAACAGCTGAACAACTGTTGCCAGTGTCAGTCATGTGTTGCTGTGACAAAGTAACACTTTTTATGACCACTGTTTCTCCTTTTCTGTCTTCCATTTCAATTAGGATTAGAAACAGCACAAGTGATGAATCAATTAAAAGGGCATGATCAACAGTTGATTATGCTCCCAACCTTGAAATAATTGTTTGAGAGGAGTGCCCGATGTCATTCCATCGAGTTAACAGTCAAGTTACTCTGTCAAATGGAAGATTATTCAACACAAAATTAATCTTTAGCATGAATTTTGTTAAAGTGACCGGATTTTGCTAAAATGATAAATAAACTGTTTCCTTTATCTCTCAGTAAATTAAAACAAAGAAGGATTAATTATGAACATTCTTGATCTATGATGAGGAAGATGATGAAGACATTTTCCTTTGCCTGTGCTCGTTAATTTTCTTCACAATTAGCATCCCAAACTCAGCATGCATTTCTGAGAAAGACCTTACATCTCGGTCATGGAACACCGACTGTCCTGTTTTGGCACTTACAACACCTTGGGCTGAGGTGAAGGTCTTGTTGAAGAACTTTGCTCGAGTGGTCCCACTCCGAGGCATGAGCCGAGGTGATGTGGAGGAGGACACGTTTTCATAGAAGACGGACCGAGTGCTGCGCCCAGGGGCAGTGGCCGAGTTGCTTGGCGCCGGGGCAGTTCCTTTCAGCTGGGCAGCATTTACATCTGCCTGCAATACACTGGGCTCTTCTCCATTATCAACGTCATCACCGTTGTGATTCTCAACAAAGAACTGCGTTTGCGGGTGCAACTGAGTGCTGTTTCCTTGATCAGGACTCTTATTGTTGTTGACGGGAACCAGTGGATCCCAGATTGCATAGGAAGGGTTGCTGAATTGAGCAGCCGGGACCGAGTTTCGCTGGAAGGCATTCTGCCGGGGTGCTCCCTGGTGAGATAGTGACTCAGTTTTCCCCTTGTTGTAGATGCCCATCTTGTTGGGGATGTCACTGAAATCGTCCAAATTATGATCGTCAGGTTGGCCGGTGGTAACATAGGAGAAGCGTCCCTGACGCAGCTGCCCATCCCCATGTGAGTCATGAGTAAGTTCGTCCAGTTGTCGTTGAAGTGCATCCACCATGGCCTTCATGTAGTCGTAACTGGAGCAGGCAAGTGCCCTCATCCAAGACTCCATGTCCTCCTGATCATAAGCAGCCAGGATATAAGTCCGTGCTCCATCACCAGGGAATGATATCTGGAATGTGAACTGGCTGTCCTCACTGTCTGCCAATTCTACCCGGCATCCCTCCAAAATTATCACTCCGATGGGGTCCCGGTCACATTTTTTCTCCAAGTAAAACAGAAGATTCCCCTTCAAGACGAACCATCTCCTTTGATATCCCCGGTTAATCTCACCGCGCTTCAGTAAGAAGCCCTCCTTGTCAATTGGTGAATTGCAAGAAGCAAAGTAAGCAACGTTGCGCTCATTAAACTTCATTTTGAAGGATTCCGAAGCACACTGGCTGACCGCACTCTTTGACTGAGTTGCAAGACTACTTTTAAAGATAAACCATGATCTGAATCCAAACTAGGAAAATGAAAGGATAGTCTGCAATGTGTTCTCCATGATACTAATTGTTCATCCGGCCTGCGGCTACGTGTGAGGGCTTCAATCACAGAGGAGCTTTGGTGCTCACTTCACCAACAGCTGGCCAGTTATCCCTCCCCCAAAATAAATCTGGCTGTAGCCACGGTACGGAAAAAGTGCAACGGCGCTTCCGCACTTCGTAACACCCCTGATCGGTCTGCACAAACCTATGAATCTGATTCACCGCTGGGACCTGGCATGTTCTGGAATAACTCAGTGGTGACAGATGACGAAGAAAATCGCTAGTCACAGGCACTACTAGAGAGACGAAACTGTCACGTTCAACTAGGGGAAAAATGACGGCTTTATAAGGCTAAAGTACTCCTGTAACTACAAGGACACGCGACCTTAAGTGAGCCTGGACTATGCTTCTCATACATAGCAGTTACTCGCTGGTGTCAATGCTTCGGCACCTCGTGATGAGACTATTGACCATTTTCGTGGGTACCAGTTGTTAGGTTTCTGGTACATACATGTACATGTACATGTCAGAGGTTATATTACTGACGAGATGGTTATAAGATAGAATACATGATGTACACGTATGGATTTATTACGGTCGTTGATGTATGGGTCTTTGCTTGCTCTGTGGTTGGTGGGCGTTTCATCTGAATGAGGGGATTGGGTTTCCTCCCTTTCTGTTAGAGCCATGCTTCCGAATGTTCCCACATCTTTTGTTCAACAGGCAGGTGTCTATATATTTCCAGTGAAGACAGCTGTCACTGGCCCCATTTCAATTTTTCATTAATTTCTAGACAAGGCCAGGCAGTATTACCATAGAGCAAGAAATATATGGTATAATGTTTGCGTGTTCGATTCGCATGCCTGGGCCGGGAACAGGTACGATGTGGTTTTAGTCTGGATACCAGACTCGATGATTCTGACTACTCTACGAATCAAGTATACCCAGCAAGAAATGAGACCGAGGGGTACCCCCCCCAACATGTCCAATCCCTATACACATTCCAGACTGTTGTTACTTAACACATCCCCCAAGATGTCTGAAAGGAATTCCCCAGATTCCTGCGAGACAATGACCCACACAAAGCAGGGGGGGGGTTCTCTCCGTCTCATACCTTGCTGCATAAGAACGATTATGGGGTTTACAAGTGTTTTATTTAACTGAGTAAAATCGTTGGGTGTTCACACCGGGGTGGAGAACATGAGAGAGAAGTGAAGTAAATATGAGGTGAAAGTGAAGTGAGTCTGAACACTAAATAAGGGGTGATATATACAGGGGTGAGAGCTGGGTGGAAAACAAGCTAAAATGGGGTAGAAAGTTGTAATCATAAAATAGTAGACAGAGTGTCTGGGGTGTAATGAGAAAACGGTCAAGGTGGATCCTAACTGGAATTTATGGGTCACAAAGATGTCAACAGGGAAAGCTTAATCTCCGGGTCTTAATTGGAGGGAATGTGATCCTTGAACTCTAACAAGCTTTGGAGTAAAATGGAATAGAATCTGGGCTTGCAGTATCTTTTGAAAAAAGAGATTGTATGGCCCCCAAAATGGTGAGATTGTGTAAATCTTTGCCAGAATCAACTCCCTGGGTCTTTGGGCTTTCATCTGAGAGCAGAATGACAAGAGTCAAAGTACTGTTAAAAAATGGTCCTAAGTGCCCGAGAAAGTTGAGGGTTGTCACTTGAAAAAAAAAATTTGTTTTGAGGGAATTACTCAAAATGTGATTGGTTAACCCGCAGAAAAATGAAAAGAAAGTGAAAGATTATGGACCAGACAATAATTTAACGTGTGTTTGAGATGTCTCAAGGATGTTGGCACGCATGTTATTGGGCCCCCGACCAATGCTGATTTACGCTGTTTTCAATGGGCCTGAATTAGTGGACTACACCCTGCAGTATCACCCGATGTCCACATGACCAAGACCGTACTGTTTTCCGGAAATAGCCGAAATATTCCGAGGTTGTCCAGTCTATATTCGGCATGTTCGGACTGTATCATTGATGTTCGGTTATTCCCGGCCGGAAAACTCCCTTATCCTAATGGCAGCTGTTGAGCCTACAATATTTGACTTTACACTGAAATCAAACGTCTCCTCGGTAATCGCCTTAGAGAAGAATCTAGGAAGAATCAGGACCTGTCGACAAATAAAAGACACATACAGGGTGTTCCGCTGTAATGAAATCGAAAACCGTGGCACCCGGGCTCTCGTGACCCCTGACGCTTGCCTCATATCTATTTATCAGAGGTGGCAGCCAGTCATTTTTTGCAATTCCACAAGTCAAATCAAAAGTCATTGGTCATGGGTCAAGTCAAGTCACAAGTCTCTTTGTCCAAGTACAAGTCAAGCTGCACATCATTTTGTCCAGCTGTATGTAATAAGCAAAAAGAACCAGGCGTCAACTTATGAAGTTACTAGTTATGAGTTTTGGATAGCTGAACACCTTTTCTCCAATTATTAATTTGACAATCTCCGTCATTCCCCTTTTTCACTTGTGTTGCAATCACTATTCTTTCGAACTGTCACATATCTGTTGTATGAACAATAAATTCTACATACATGGAGCTGAGACCCAGAGAAAGAATAAAAGAAATTTGTGACAATACAGATTGGTTATGACTGCACCCGTTCTTGTTTACACTTTATTATTATCATACATAAACCGTTTAAGTGCAATACTTTTCAAAAACATACTTAAGTAAATAAGAGGCCAGCTCTGTGTCAAGATATAAAAAGTTACAAAATTTGCAAAATAATACATTGCTACATTATTAAGCAAACTAATATCGCCAATATCAATTTCTTTCTCAGCAACCATTTTAAACATTTGATCTTATCGCATTTTGTCAATCAACAAAACAGTAATGAATTCGCTCGTCGTCTTACTAAATCTTAGTCCAAGTGTAACAAAATGTCAGGAAATAATTTATCTGTAAACGAACACAGCCAAGCCTATGGAGAGTTCGTGCTTCCCCGCGAGGCAATGATGTTGTCGATCCACTGTCCGTACCGTGCCACGTTGGTATAGACACCGGGGAAGTTAGGCCGTGCGCATCCATTGCCCCAGCTCGTTATACCGGTCAAGTACCATCGCTCCACCTCACTGCCTGTCGCATCGTCGCGGCTGCGTCTGCTACACACCAGAGGACCGCCGGAGTCACCCTACAGGAGGGGAATAGAAACCAAAATTGGAATCAGTTTTTTTTTTAGGACAGTAAGAAAGTGACATCAAGTGTTGGGTCAAGGAACACATGGGGTGACATTCCTAAGGGGACACCAGGCTATAGAGGTGCACACATTTTTGAAGGGGGCTTGGGAAGGAATCAACATGGCTTGTACACGTATGTTACATCCACGTACATTTACAACTTCCAACTGGTTGTATTAAAACGCATTGCAACAGGCACGATAAAACAGAGCCACAAGAACTTTAGCCGAAGATTGACTCACCTGACAAGAATCGATTCCCCCTTCGAAGAAACCGGCACACAACATGTTTTGGGTGACACCGCCGTTGTAAGACGAAGGGTGGTTGCATCGACTCCTGTCAACGATGGGAACCTCAGCTTCCTTAAGCACGGATGAGACATCGCCACCCTCTGTCAATGAAAAAGAAGGCATTTTTAAATTATCAATGGGCACAACAGAAATTGTTCGTTCAGTAAATGACTTTCAAATATCTAGACATGAAGAGTCGCAGATGTAACACCTTGGATTAGGCAGAAATCAAGTCCACACGACGTAATATAAATGTCTTTTGTATTGTCCAAAGAATATACTAAAACTGTTTTCGTTTCATTGAAAATTCAGTTTAGTTACATGTAAAAAAATGGTCATGGGCGTCATGAAAAAAGTTCCGAGCTTCAGATTTCCGACACAGGCATTGCCAAATTCTATTTGTCAAGTTACGGCACTCACCACTTGTGGAACCGAAACCAGCGATGAAGCACACGAGCGACTCGTCCACACTAGCGGCGGTGTCCACGCACGCCGAGTTGATGACAGGGTTAGTACCGGCTTCGGGCTGAGCTGGAGGGTTAGATAAGACTAAGATGGCTATGTCGTGGTCCACTGTGTCACTGTCGTAACTTGCGTGAACGATGACTTCAGAAACGCCGCTCTCGTGTTCGTCGCCGCTGTCATCATTTTCACGATATTTTCCGAGAATCACTCGCCAGTTGGTTGGATTCATCCGACTGTTGAGAAATTGTGACAAAATGGTTCGATTTAGTAAGTATTTCGAGGTAGCATCGGTGACCAAAACAATTGACATAGAATGATCAACGAAAACATAAACAACGTAAATACTGAGGCAATGTTCAAAACGACAAAGTGTCATTATTTCTTCAAGACTGCAAGAAATTTTTCAAAGTAACAAATAGGGTCGCACTAGCGCTGTGCTGTTAGACCTCTTGTAGTGTATTTTGTGAGACGTTGGCATTTTAAGTTCAGCATTCTGTAGACTGAACCTGGGCGTATCAAAGGCCTACATGTTTATTTGTTTTCTCTCTAGATCTACCCACCTGGATCCCTCGAAGCAGTGAGCTGCACTAATGATGAATCTGTCTTCAACAAGAGTTCCCCCACAAGAGAACCGACCGTTGAAGTACAGCTGAGCGTACCAGGGCCAGGCCCCGCGTACGGCGTCGTTCCCCCCGACAATACGCTGGATTGATCCCTGGGGATGGCGTGAACCACATCCACTATCTGCAAAGTCCAAAAAAGAGAATAATATACCGTAAAGGAAACCCCTGAATATGTTTACATAAATCATAATTCGAATTTCGCCGACTCGCTGATTTCTTTGTCCGTATTTGAGAGAGGTATTCATGTTCGTACCTGCTTCGGGCATGCAGGTTGCAAGTTCGCACATCTCGTACTCCGTGGACTCCCCGTCGCACAGGCTGGTATCAGTACACAGACACGACCTGGTGCGGTGTCTCTGACCAGCGCCACAGCCCGTGTTACATTCAGACCACTCGCTCCAGTTATCCCATCCGCACATCGGAGGTGGCGCTGTAGTCATATCCATTGTTTCCGGCTGACTAGTCGTGGAATAAGCAAAACCTGTGGGTTTGAAAATGGGCAGCTTCTTATATATTGCAAAATTTATTTGACTTGCCAGGTGTATAATTTTTTCAACTAGTCGCTCATTTGTTAGGACTTCGAGAGGAGAAGAGTTTCAACTTACATCCTTCTTCATCACTATAGTCCCAGCAATCGTTGTCATGATCACACTGCCAGTAATCGGGAATACACCGACCATTTGCACATGTGAACTCATCAGTTGCACATTCACCTATACATAGGATGGGAATCATACACTAGTCGTCATTCAATGGCAAGTAATAATACACACATTATAGAGAGACCAATCATTCTAATTACGACAATCTTCAACCCTATTCTTATAACTTCGCGATTTTGTCATTCTGCTCTGAACAACTGCTCATTAACTGTCCCCACCTATGATGGTGTGACTTTTAACAAGCCATGTAACTGGCATTTAAACTCACAATTGACTTCGTCGCTTGCATCACCGCAGTCGTTCCAGCGATCGCATTCCCAGTATCCCGGGATGCAGGTACCGTCAGAACACTCGAACTCGTGGGATGCACAGCCATCTACACACATGAGGGAAAATCGCATGGTATCAAAAATTTGTATTGTTGAGATTAATCTAGCGTTTTGAAATACAAAAATTGATATGAACATCGCATTTGTTGAAATGAAAGTGTCAAGTAATTATACTCTTTTTCTCGTAAAACTTCAAATTCGTTTCTTGCTTTTTCAGTGAGTGTGAATATTCGTAATCTTTCCACTAAAACATACATGTACATGTGAATGCGTAGTTGATATTACCAAGAGATTACTTACAACAGTAATGCGGGAAGAAGTAGCAGAACCAGTTGTATCGATTATCACGGTCACCAGTTCTTTTGAGACTTTCCTTCAAGTCCGTCACGCCCTCTGTGGAAGAAAGTTTCGGGATTCAATATCATTTGATCGGTCTTGTTTCTTGACTCAGTGAACTGACATTTCTCCGGGATGCTTCAAAAACGATACACTGACATGTGGTGATTCAAATATCTGTATTCCTGCACATAAAATGAACGGTCAAAATTAATGTGCGGTCACGTTCGAACTGATGCTGCTAAGAGCGCTCATGATGAGCGCGTGGTGCACACCGTTCTTTTCTTAACGCTGGTGAAATCGAAGGTACATGGGCTTCAGCGACAAGGGAAGAACTTTACCTCCATGGGGTGCCTTCCTTTTCAATTCATTGATCATGTACTCTGCCACGTTCTTGCTCCTGAGAACGTCATCCTTTTGACCGTTGAGGGCCTGGGCCGCTTCCTCCTGTAAAGCCCTTCTCTGTTCTTGAAATCTCTGCAATGAAGAAAAGCACAAACACAAAAAATAAAATATTTTGAATGAGACATTGGTGAGTGGCTCAGAGAATGAAGGAAACGTCATCTATCGTGTTCTTAGGAATTCTGCTCGACGAGCCTACCTCTACACTGCGGCGTCCATAGTCGGGGAGAACACCTGCCAGGGATGACGGCAGGCACGCGCCGAGAAACACGACGAGAGCCTCCAAGAGCACCAGAGATCGCATGGTGATCAGTGACAATCAGATCGGGGAGGAAAAGTTGAAGTCGGATAGTTTGTCGCGACTGGTGATATGTGAAGTCGAGATGGTCGCAGTTGTGAGAGTTGACGTAGAGTTTTCTTGTAAGGACTTTCGCGTCTTCCGTAAACCGGAGAAATTTGGGTGGAGAAACCCATCCTGGTGAGCTTATATAGACCCCGAATTCTATCGACTACATACATTGTTGTCCCCACCGTGGCAAAAACATTTCACCGACGTAGAGAAACCAATGACGTAAGGTATGTCAGTCCTCATCTGGTTATAAAGAGCCAACAATAACCTCAGACTATTGATCAACCCAGAGTATTGGGTTTCCATGTACCTGCGGTGTGCACCTTGGCGGGAACATCAATGAGGGATTCAGCAGGCCTGATCAACCGTGACCATCCACGGGAGCGCACTCAGCAACCCACATAAACAACCGACACTCTTCTTGTCGTCAAAAAGTAAGGAGCGACCTTTACCTTATTAGGTTGTCTCCATGGGTGTCACAAGGGGGGCACGGGGCGCTTCTCCAGGAAAATAAATTGAAAAACAAAGAGTGTGAAGGGGTGGAAATTTGCTTGAAAATCAAAATTGACCCCCCAACTGTGAAATGCTTCACAGTCTTCAGCTGTTGAGTGCGTTTCCCAGCACTTAGCAATTTCCCTCATGAAAATTGCTTTGCCTCCCCCTGACAAATCCTGGCAACCCCTATATCTAAGGTGGCTAAATTTACACTGTTTGTGCAAACAGCATCGATACAATACCATTATGAAAGTCAGGAAAAGGATTTTATGCAGAATGGTATAGAAATAAATTATAGGTTTCATCAAAGGAAAAACAGTTCTAGTATTGAGTTCAGTCATAACATTTCTCACAATGTTTTGCATAGCATGCACAATTAATGAAGACCTGAGAACGTTGTCTAAAAGGCTCACAGAACCTTACCAATATTGACTTTTTTCACAGAACCTTGTAACAATCTCTCCCATCAGTTTAAATCTGACTTCCTCCAAATATATCACCAAAATCATTTCGCAAGCGCGAAGCTGTACAAATGCTTCATACTGAAACCCTAGATTTTGAGGAGCCCCATTACTTGCTGTTGGGGTTTTCATGTTTGTACTAGAAATTGCAACACATTTTTCCTTAAAACTTCAAGTTAACCTGGAACTGTTTTCTCGGGGTAACAATCAACGAAAATTTTACATGAACTCTAATGCGACGCAAGAGGGATCTAGGTACTAATGCATGGACTATTACTTCCACGGGGGGAGGGACTCCCTCACCCTAATCCAGACATTTCTATTGTTATAGGGGACATATTTTTGCCCCCTGCACAGTCTTGTTAGCTTCTTTACTGTGAGATAGGCCTAGCCTTAATTTACACTCTAAAAAGTATGTTTAGCTTTTAAACACAATTTTGCTATCACTTTGCAAACATGTCTAGAGGCTAAATACAATCCATTCAAATCCAAATGTGCTTAGCATTCAAAAATGTTTAGAAAACTTTTTACTTTTTTTCAGGATAAAGATAGCCTCTGACATGCACCTAGACTATCCCATATTTCTAAATTTTCATCCACTCGCAATGTTCCTAAGTACCGAAAACTGACCCAAAATGTTTCCGAAAAGAGCCAATTATCCAAAAAGAGAAACGGGACCGATTTTTTTTTTTTGGGGGGGGGTGAATTTCGAACAAAATTAGAAAATGAAAGAATTAAACTTTTTCGTTTCTATTGGATTGCTTTGTTGAAATTTTGACAAGTGTCAAGTTTCCAGGACGTACCACTAATTCGATGTGCTTTCCTTTTTTATTCCTGTCGAAGAGAAAATATGCTGAAGTGAGAACCAGTACACATATAATCCTTAAAAGGATAGATGGGGGATTGGAGTCACATTTTCAAGCCTTTTCCTCAGAAAAATGAGTCACATTAGTGGCTCACATTTCGGGGGAACATTTTACGTTTTGAACAAAATGAGCTTTAACCTTTCACAATTATTTTCGGGCCGCTGCCCCTCTCTCCTCATCACCAATGGAAAATCGCGGCTTCTGTACTGACGTCAGGACGGATTGGCGTCATCAACAAATCCAGTCAATGCGTCATCCATGCACAATAGCCCAATGGCTGTCCGTCGCTTTCACAAAAGACGCATGGGGCATTCAACTGGAGGGCGTAAACCTTCATTCAAAACTTGTCCCGCTGCCTTATTTGGGGCAATGGGGAAATCTCGATTAAGTGCCTTGGAAACTGAATCAACAGAATTTCATCAATAGTATTATTTTGCCATATGTCTTTTGTTAGCAACGGAAGTAATAATATTTTATGATCGATCAATGGAGTTGTTTACATTTTTCCGTCCTATCAAAAGAATCAACTGAGGGGGAACATGACTATTTAATCCTGCAAAGAAACAAATATGTCACGGTTTCAAGAATTTGCCTCTTTTTTGAGGTTTCGGTTGTGATTTTTGTAGGGTTTCGATATACTTTAGGCCTAAGGTTTCTGTTACAGCCGTTAAATTCCTCCATGGTGTTCATCACCATAAAATGTTTTCTTCGAACTGGAGTCCCAGCTGTATTTTTCAGGGTTACCGATTTTTTGGTGAAGTCTGTTTCTCCCACCGCATTACGCCCATGCCTGACACAAACTTACCCAGGCATCCGTGCGTTTGCTTCCATTTTAAAAGGTAAGCACACTTTGACCAGTCAAGACGAAGAGACAAAGCCAGGATTTTCCAACTCTAATATTTCGATGTAATTGTGTTTTTCTTTCCAGTTAATTAAAGGAACTCAGTGGTCCCTCAAAAATGCATGATTACTGTTGCCTGGAAGCATGAGAAAACTTCAACTGTAAGTCTTGGGAAGGTATTTGTAGTCATAGTGATCAGGACTCAACATGTAGCGAACCTAGTGGCTCTCTAATTTATAAGAAAAAACGGCTAAAACGGCACTGTCCCACTGCAAAACTTGCGCCGGTTTCTACGCCCAAATTGGCACTCTCCGACCGCGTCCTGCCGCCAAACCAGTCCTGGCTCAAGGCAAAATTTGCATCATCTGTCGCTGGGGGCGCAAGCAAAACAACCATTGTGCCGCAGCCAAACGGGCATTTCAGCACTGTCCCAGAACAAAACCAAGAACTGTTCCTAGTGTTAAACTGCTGGAAGCAAAGAGTACAGCATACAGATAGACACAGACGTTATCAGTGCAAGCCCGTTTCAGACACAGATTTGTGTTGTACACTCACAAAATATGTATCACATTGCCGCTGCAATAAAAGCCGGAAAAGTCTTGTTTTCTCTCATATTGGCCAGTTTAAATGTTATTTTCCAGCATGAGAAATTTGACATTGGCTAGAGAGCATGATGATGCGCGTAACCTGAAATGCGTGAGTCACACGCGTTCAATGTGAGTTAGTTGCACGACAAACCGACACAGTCATGGCTCCTGGTTGAACAGAAAATTTCATTTCGTGCGGTTGAACGGGGTGAATGAGAAAGAAATATAGTTCTCAATAGGTGTAACTACACTCTGCTTGGCGGAGGGACACGTAGTGATGTGTTGGTATAAAAGAGAGTGATAGACAGTATGGGCTATCTGTGTATCGACAGGCCGGACCTATACTTAAATTTTAATCCCGGTTTTTTCTTATATCCAAGTATAAGAAAATTTCAATTAATACTCGCATATCATGAATTTCCAAATGAGAGTACTCTCTTCTTAAATTCGAATTAAGAGTGTATGATCTCCTGATAGGATGCATGAGGGCGCCATTTATACATCTAATTATATAGCGTCACGCGTCAGACTAAAAGTTTCGTTAAAAGATGTAACAGATCTGTGTTTACTCTAGGAAGAAATGCCAGGAATTAAATCTTTTTATGGTGTCCCTATAACATGGCAATTGTAATGCTAACTGTATTAGTTCGTTTCTTTTAAATCCTTTGTGGACTACATACAGTGGCGATGGAGGGTTGGGCTTCGGGTATAGGGGACCCTAACGTCGTGGGCGAGGTGGGAACTTTGGGTACAAAGGAGACCATTGCGTCCTGGGTGGGAGCCTGGAGAGGTTGGTCTGCTTGTGATGGTATCCATGGAGCCGGAGGCGTGGTCTTGATGTGCTGGGGTTCGTGGCGCAGGGTGTCCTTGTCACAGATGTCGACGAATGGATTATTATTCGTACACTTCTGAGAGCGATTCCCAGCATTTTACAGCACCCCCCCTGCTACTCCTCTGTTATTCTTCAACGGTTTGGGTACAGTAGCCTGTTCTGCTGCGCCACCCAGCATTTTTTTCATTCAGTGGATTTTTGCAAAAGCTATAGCAAGGCAGCATATACTATAGGCTTACCTTAATTGTTTCTTATTAGATTAGAAGAAAACTCTCCATGCAAATTATTATAGTCATTCTGTAGCCACTATCATAGACTTGTGTGTGATTTCTAGCCGAGGCCATGTGCTGCAGACTCGACCTTGTAAGCGTTATATATATATTTTTCTGTTTACCTTAAGCTACGTGCCTTTCAGAAAACGGTCGAATACACAGGAAGGGAGCTGACGTAAACCAAACAGGTGTTCCAAGAACTGGCTTTGTTCGAACATACAAAGTCACGCCCGGGCAATTTCGTTCACCATCCTTTGTAAAATTATTTACTTCCTGTTAATTATGGTTTCGTTCCAATCTCCCCTCTTTGGACTCCTCAATGAACCCTCACTGTTTACTATTTTTTTTCAAATTAGAATAAACAAACTAAGATTTATTCATCGTCAACAAGGTCTTTAGACTGGATCATAATTATGTCTGAAACAATGAGCTCAATGTAGCGTTAATTATCTGGTCTTAATGAATTTTTTTATATTCCTATGGAGTACCCACAGCAGGGAGGGTATAAAAGAAGTTAGGACCTGGGTTGTCTAACTGACAATCCTGTTTCCGATTGTCGAATTAACTGTTAAATTAGGAGCTTTTTCTGGCGAGAGCAATACCAACACGCAACAGACTGTGAATCTGTATTCTGGACAAGACGCTAAACTACAATGCGTGCCCCAACATTGGCGTGTTTGGTCGTAGTGACTTTCGTCGTGTGGGTGAATGCGCACTCCACCCACAGCCCACCCAGACGAGGTCACAACTCGCGAGTACAGGTAAATCGCGAAAATTTGGAGGATTTATTATTTTCCTCCTTACACAACATCAGAAACAGGCCAAACCCCTCAAGAAAACATCATCCTTATTAAACACAGAAAAGAAAGTTATGCCTTGTTTATTGTGTGATGGTTGTTAGGTGCGCTGATCGACACGCCTTTCCCCATGTCTTCAATGCCTGTCCCGGAAACTTAACTGAACATCTTTCTTTCCCGACTTGTCAGAAAAGCGCAGGTTCCAACAGTCTAGATGGGCAGAGGCCGCTGAATGGTCATCGCCAGCGTTCGGGGAGACCGGTTCGTGCTGGGCATTTTGGGTCCAAGCGGACAGTAGACGACACCAGGCTCGGTAAGTTTCGACTTCTCTTTCTCTAGTTTCACACCTGTATTTATATAAGACTCTCAGCTAAACATGGTCCGCGGGAAGAGACACCGTTGGGGGAAAAAGGCGGATAATTAACTTCATTATCCGCCTCTTCCTCCTAATTAAAATAGAAATCTTGTATAGGGAGAGGGAGATCAAAAACAATCAGATTTTTTTGGACAAGGCCACGTAAGTGATGTGTTCAACAATCTTGCACAAGTTTAGAAAATCATAATTGTCTCTTTTTTTGGGGGGGGGGTATTTAAGCTAGTTGATCTTTATACGGTTTAATTGACCGATTGCTTTTCTCGTCAAAATGCAGACTATCACTGCGACTTCAGGACTGATGCTGATTGCTTCCGTAAGTATCCAACCATTTCTGTCCGGATCACTATGCATGATGTTGTCCCAGGTTGGATAAAATTTGAACACTGCATTAGAACGTGTTCCAAAGGTTGAAGTCATTAACTCACGTAAGTCACTTAATAAAGTATTTACATGAGAACTAGTGGAGGTGGAAGGTAGTAATACAGTGGTGTAAATCTGTGCTGGAGACGGGAGAGGGTGGAGGATAACTTACATCAACATGAAAATTTCCGGCTGCGAAAGTTGGAAAAGGGATGGCTGGACATCACTTGTAACCAGGGAGCGCTGTTCATTATACTGGTGTACATCTCACGGATACCCACGCCCCTCAACCTTATCTCAAAACGGCGTATCTATAAAGCCTTTGTTCTTTAACTTCCCTTTTTAAAGTACTTTTGAAAACTCTTTTCCTGGGAAGTTCGGCATATACGTCAATGTTTTCTCACAACGGAAAAATAGGGGATCCAGTAGTCCATCCCCTCGGTCAAAATAGGGGGTATGTATAGCCCCATCCCCCTGAGATCCACGCCCCCAGATGTCATGTATCAAACACGGAAGTTGGTATCCGAATACTATGATTTTAAGAAATTGATATTTACGGTTCAAAAGTTTTAACTCACTGTTCGAAGGTCTAAAACATACTATGCAAGGAAATTGCTTGATTAATGATTTTACCGGATTGACCGACGAAAGTGCCAAGAGTACTTACAAGCGTCATTCAGAGTTACAATTGTCCACCACAAGCCGTAATCACAATGCAAGAAAACTTCTGATATCTTGTTTAATACGCTACTTGACATACGTTGACCAGTGACTAACCTCCCCTGGATTTTACTTGACCAGGGACTTGTCATAGACTTGAAAACAATGCCAAACTTGCAGAATGATTAAAATGACATGTACACAATGATCAAAAAATTTAACCGTTAACGCCCTCATCAATGGTTTGCATTTCTTGACCAGGTTGTGTTTTCCCTGAGTTTGCCGGCGAAGGTGTGCCTAATGAATTTAAGAGAGATGCGTGGGAAGACTGTAGTGACGGATCTGATGAATGGGGCTGTAAGTACAGACGTGATTCAAGACACTGCAATGTATCACTTATGGGCTAATTTCCCAGACCAAACCAATTCGGAGTATAGTGATCTCAGATCCAGTGGTCGCCAATATTACGTTACCAAAGCAGCAGGATTGCGCCTGGGTCCAAAAACCTGTTGCCGAAATTGTCGGAACCTACATTTCCCTTGATATTTTTGGTCATCGTTAATGTTTCTGTCCTTTCCAGAGCTTGCGTCGTTTGTTTAACATCACAACAGCACAGGTGTGATAAAAATAAAACTAAACCAGCAATGATTCCAAGCACATTCTCGCCACAGTCAGTCTGACAGTCAAACCCGTTTATTATCAGACTTATCTCAAAGTTTTATCCATTTATTCACTTTTGCCATGTGAAAAATCAGTGAGAAATTCTGACTGGGCTTCGGTTGCTTTCTTAATTCTTTTTCTCCTCCCCTTTATATCTGTGTTCTTTCTTTCTGTATTTTCTGTCCTTTTTTCAGATAACTTTGATGGAGTATCCGGTTTTGATTACTGTAAGTATCTTTAATAATAATAATTCCTTCCAAAATGCCCAAAAGTTTCATTTAACAATTTTTTTAAAAGTATTTCAGGCATATAGTCACTCCCAATTGTGACATACTAACTCACACGAACCATCCGTGGGTGATCATACGGATTTATACACGTGATAAGCTCATAAGCTTCGTTTGTACGAGATATATTTTTTTCAAAGTTCGTTTGTTCGAGACATACATGTACAGTCTCCAGTTCGTTCTAATGAGATCTATATTTAGAAACATTGTTTCTATTTTTGAAAGCAAATAATTTTTCGGAGATATATTTTTCATGAAGTTTGTTTTTTACGAGATTTACTGTTTCAAAATTAATTTCAGGAGATATACATTGTCAGGTTGGATTTATTTCTAACAAAATCAAACTTAATTAAGAAAATCATAACTCCCAACTAAACGAACTTAAAAGAAATCTCCTAAAAACGAACTTGGAAAAATATATCTCGTAAAAACGAATTGTTTCCAATTGTGTACAACCTCAATTGCTGTGACTGGCATTGTGCATGACGTTCCTGTTGAAATACTTGTGATCTGAGTGGTTCTTCATCTGGAAAGTCATAATTACAATGCATAAATCAACCGACTTCGCGACTTGGTCGACGCTGGCTAGAGAAACCACACCACGCCCAAATACCCCTATATAGTGGAACTTTGTTTACGCAAGATCAAAGGGACTTTCCAGAAACCTCTTGTTACGGTGAAGCTCGTGTTGTGCGCGCCCATGCTCGTCGCATTTATAGGGCTTTTTTCAGACGGATCAGAATCTTGATCAGTGATCCCAAAAGTGGTTCACTCTATCCAAACCGGCGGCTTCTGGTGTCACGGTGATCCAATGTTGGATCACTCTGATCTTGAACGGGATCTGCATGAAACAAACCAGGTATCCGCCCCGAGCTGAAGTGCACCTCAATCGACGAAAGAAAGACAGGTGGTTACACGCGGGTTCTTGCACGCGTTCTGCGTGTACGCAAAGACCACACATGCCGCAATTAATTCGTTACGCGTTAGGGTGCAGACCACTAATTCAAGTGAGAATTCACGGGCTAGTATTAAGTCGCTTCCGAGAATTTCTGGCCAGCTCATTGGCATTAAAAGTGCCCCCACAGTATCTAACAAGAAGATTGGTTGGCCCCCAAAATGGTGAGATTGTGTAAACCCTTACCGGGATCAACTCCCTGGGTCTTTGAGCTTTCATATGAGAGAATGACTAAAAACTACGGTTGAAAAATGGTCCTAAGTGCCCGAGAAAGTCGAGGCTTGCCATTTGACAAATGGCTGCAATCAGACTTCGGAAAAATCACTTTTTGGGGGTGATTTTTTGTGGGAATAATTAAAAATGTGATTGGTTAACTCACAAACAAATTGAAAGATTAGTGACCAGACAAGAATTTCATTGGTGTTTCAGAAATCTCAGGGATGTTGGTGTGCATGTTATTGGGCCTTGAACAGTGCTGATTTTACACTGTTTTCAATAGGGCTTGAATGTACCCGTAAGCGTGTTTCGCGTCAAACGCGCATATACTTGCGCCTCGTGGCGCCCCTACCAATGCGGGGCGTACAAAACCACGCCCTCTTTTGTTCCACTCGCGCTCGGGGCGGATAGTAAGCGCGACCGTCGCTCATGCATACAGGCCCACTCTCTTGCGTCCTCTATAAAAAATTCCATCCCACAGAGCTCTATAAAACACAAACAAGCAAACAAAAATGGGGCTCTGTGTTCCATTCAAATAAACCTATTCTGATCCCTCGAGCGTGAAGCTTGTGAGTACAATTTTTCTGATATACTTCGTAAGACAGGAAGATAAACCTTTTAACCACTACTTGAAACTACAGGATTTTATTGATAAACAAAACATTTCGAGACTTTATGTTGTCCACCTTTTTCCGAAAAAGATTATGCTTGTCCTCCCTTGCCTTCCATAATTGAAGGTAATTATTGTAATGCAGGACTACTGGACTACCTTCGTTCGGTAGACTGAGTCTATTGGCTGTTGATTCTGTTACGTTCATGAACTCACACAGCTTGCTACAGCACGGGAGATTTGGTAGACATGGATTACACATGTGATAATCATGATGACTGCCCAGACGGTTCGGATGAGTACTGCTTCCGTGAGTATCCTATTCGCGTTACAGTTACATACCTAACGGTACGTTACACTGAGAAACTGCAGCGTTGCAGGATTTAACAGAGTAACACTTCTCTCATCCAGCGCCGAAAATTCAAACAGGGCGCTGGAAAAGCATGCACAGGGGACGGAATACGTCACACGGGGTCAGTACCGAAGTGTGACGTCACGGTGAACCAGAAAGTGCAGTGCAAACGAATGGAGTACGCGCGCGTGTTGGTTCACGCGCTGGTTCTCGCGCTAATGCCTTTTACACACTAAATGTGCGCATGACGTATTCACTTCGGTACTCAATAGCGCATATTGTCTGTGCACAAAATGAGCGGCCCAACAATGGCAGTGCGCTGCGTTTTAGGAGGGTAATGCATTTAGTCATCATTGATTGTGGAGAAAACATTTTTCTTATGGGACGTTAGTCTTGGCGCAAGACGTCAGTGATCGATAGTTGTTTTATTTCTGTTGAAGAGCGCCCTCGCACACCTAGATTTTACTTACTCTCACTAACGTCTTGGGAATCTTGCAGGAATGGAGGTGTGGCAGTTGCATGCAAAAGTCCGATCTTCTTAAATACTTATAGCCTTGGTATTATAATTCTGTACATGTACATGTACTTCGAAGTTCGAACAACATGGCTGCTTCACGCTAGCAAGTACGATGTCGATGGTGTCTGGTTTATGGGAAGGGATTAGTGACATGTGAGAGAAATGTTTTTCACTCCATACTAGACATAAATTGCCACTCTTCTAAAAGATATCGTTGGAGACTTCAGTTGTGCTGCATCGATCATGTTTGCGATGTTTGTGGCAGAAAAATTAAGAAAACAAAATCGTTGTCTGATATCACCCAATAAATACGTTCTCGTGCTGGCGCACAGTCTAATTGTGAGTCGTTAGGGGGCGCACTATGCACGGTGTCCGCTATCAAGCACTAACGTCTTGAAACCAAGACTAATGAGACGGCAGCTAAGCCCTCGGCCTCCCTCTCAAAAAAGCAAAAAAAATACAGGAAATTCATGAATAGCATTTTCCGAATTAACTGACCATTTTCTACGGTCTACGGTCAATTGCTTGGACAATATTTCTACTCTGGGTTAGTTCAGTCGTGAGTCGTTCGGTGTGTACAAATTTGACAATTCCACCAAGACCCACAAAAGGTTTTGTCAGTAAATATATGATGTCCAAACTGTCCACGTGTTTTCCGTCTGATTTCATGAGCGAAACTGAAGAACTTAATCAATGACAGGAAATAAATAAATCACAATTTTAACTGTACACACTCATAGGAAAAATGCACTGAAATTAATTCATATATTGAAAAAATTACCGAAAACCGGTACTGTACCCATTCGACTCGCTGCTTTCTGCAATGGAGAAATCTAAAGAACCAGAACCCTTTCCCTTTGGAATCTGCACTTCTACAACCCCAAAACACAACAAGTGGAAACCATTTCTTTCCGTAGCACCCCAAGCTGTGACCAGGTTCAATGGTAAGCTATGTACGTGCTGTATGTACATTGAACATTGGTACATGTTTTTACTAATGCACACTTTGGTTTCAAGAACACTAACAATGTAGTATATACTACTTAGATGGAAGGGGGCCATACTAAGAAACAGCGATCTTGTGCGCACAGGAAAAATTACGATTACAAAGTCTTTTTACAGAGCACTAAAAATCCAACTTAAATTAGAAACTATTAGCAAACATTGATGCGATTTTCTAAAAACAAATCAACAAAGCCAGAAAGCCAGATAGAAATGATCGTCAAAGTCTCATCCCTGTACATTTTAAATGGCTGCTCACACTTTATTAGTGAAAAAGTCTATGTTGTGCACAAAAGGGCTTGCAGATTTGGCACCTCGATCCGAACACGCATTTTGGGAAGCGAAGTTGCACCATAGAGAAAGGACCTTACCACACCTTGTACCTTACTTCACCTCACCTTACCACACCTTGTACCTTACCTCACCTCACCTTACCACACCTTGTACCTTACCACACCTCACCTTACCACACCTTGTACCTTACCACACCTTGCCTTACCACACC